GCGCAGGCTGAGATCGCGGCCCTGATGGAGGACAAGAAACGCTTGGAGGCCGAAGTGTACAAGTTGTCGAGCCAGGTCATTGACTCTGAGCATAACGCCAAAGATACGAGCGAGAAGCTTGCGAAGGAGCGGGAAGAACACCAGAGAACTTGCCAGGACCGAGCTGAGAAAGAAGCCGAGCTGATCCGGCTGAGAGAGGCACATGCGGCGGAGGTCGCCCGCCTTGAAAAAGAGAAAGCTGAGTACGGGACCCTCATGCGCAACCGAGGTGTTGAGGCGGGCAAGGAGCTCGGGAAGGAAGAGTTCAAAAACTCCGAGGAGATGGAGCGTGACCTCGAATTCAACACTTGTCTGAACCTCCGCTGGACCGTTGACCGCGTCGGCTCGGGCCTTTATGGAGTCGGCGATCTCGCGCTCATTCTGCACAACAAGATAGTCAGGTTGGGTTTTGACGCCTCTATTTCCGAGATGCGCGTTCCGGCCGACGACGATGAGAGGGACTACATCGAAGGCGTCTTGAATAGGTCGGACCCGCAGATAACAGCTTCGGCTCTTCCCCCCTTGAGCCGCGAGAGGCGTGCCGAGCTCCAGAGGGCCTTTATGGATATGGTCCTTGAAGGGGAGAAAGAGAAGAGGGAAGAGCTCGGCCTCAAGTTCATTGACACTCTCGCCGGCATCACCGTTGAGCATTTCAGGGTCCTAACTCCGGCCGAGATCAAGAAAGAGGTTGTTGAGTATGCCGATAGGATGACTGCTGCTGCGGCCGAGATGAATGTTGATGCGCCCCGGGTTGATACCGAGCTTGTCACGGTGACTGAATCAGCCGACCCGGGGACAGTGAAGATCACAGTTGACCCCGACGCTCTTGACGCGGCGATCTACGCTAAGCTTAGCGAGCAATTCAGAGATACTTCAAGAGATGCCGACGACGATGATTCAGAGGAAGTCGGGGAGGACCCGGCGAAGGTGTCGGAGGATCCTGGTGAAGGTGTCGGTGAGCCCGAAGGTTCTGGAAAAGGAGCTGGTGGATCCGCCCAGTAGGATTGTTTTTCTTCTTTTGTTGCTTTTACGTGTTTGTTTCTGTGTCGCATAGACTGTTTGGCCACCGTGTTTATTTTAGTTGGAACTTTGTTATGTCGGGCGGGGATCGTCAAGTCGACACGTCCTAGCTTTTCGCATTTTTATTGTGTTTGCAAGTCTTTCCCCGGGGTTTATGATAATAAAATCTATCTTTTTAGTTTACGCTTCTCTTTTCTTGCTTTTCTTTATTTTTCCAAGCATCCTGGTTTTCAAACAGAAGTTCGGGGGGGAAATTCGAAAATGGCCCGACCTTTCTATCGTAACATAAAACGAAGTACGTAAGGACAAGTTTGTTCGATCAACCGCTTTGAACGAGAATAGAATTCCGTTGACCGTAATCATTTGTTAACAAAAATCCAGCGAAAAGACCTTTTAGACTTGAAAGTGCTTACTTCGAATTCACGAGTTATTTTGAGTACAAAAGACTTTGACTTCAAGATTCTATATAAAAGATATTCGACTTCACAAAGGCTGTCCAGTTTACAAAACATTCCAGGAAAGATTATCATCGGGAAACTCGTCTTACTTGAAAAGAAAAATTTTCTGGCTAACCGACTCTCATCAGTTTTGCAATTTCGCCCGGGGAAGCTTTTTTAATGGATTCGACTTGCAACACGATAGCTTTTTTGCGGAACGTCGGCGCCGAGACCGACTAGTCGCACGGCGGCCAGTTTTTGCAGAACGTCGGTGTGGAGACCGACTAGTGGCACGGAGGCCGGTTTTTGCAGAACGTCGGTGTGGAGACCGACTAGTGGCACGGAGGCCGGTTTTTGCA